ACAGCCCCGTATCAAGAATAAATGTTTTCAGGTTCCAGAGTTCGGACATCTGTTGTGGTAGTCTGTGAATATGACGAAACACGAAGTGCAAAAGTATGTCAATGAATCAGCTGTAATGTTTCATATGGAAAGTTGCCCAGACGGATGTAACATAAGTTCAAGACCCTAAGACGTTTATAAATGAATGATGTAGTCGGCTCACAGTGAGGATTCCACTTACAAGAATACGAGATGAAAGAGCTGATGTGTGGGGCACATGGCTTGGCAGAAACATAATGGAAGCCATGAGAATGGAAACACAAATAATCAGGAAAACTAGGACTTGAAGTAGAAGTGGCTTCTTTATACCAGTTAATTTGTTGTAGAAATTTTTTTTCCTTGGCTTTTATCAAGCACAAGTCACGTAACATATCATGAATACGACATGCTTTAATTCTACCATTTGACCTTTTCTTGGCAACCATCACTAGACTTCTATCTATTAGATCCATCAAGTAATCCTTCGCTACCTCTTCCAAGCTTTTTTGGTCTGGTTTGGTGTATAAAGCCCTCAGCAATCCATAAGCAAGTCAACCTCCACACCGAGATTTTGTAGTCTTCAGGGAACACTCCAAGACAGAGAAAGCATGATTTCAAGTGATGAGGCAAGTGCTTGTAACTCAATGCCATTATGTCCACGAATTGTTGTGCATCGTCAACCATAAATGAACTTACACTTTCAGCAACTTCATCCCACCGAACTCGTGTTTTGTCCTTTTTTACAAGGAGTCCAGCAACAATAATAATTGCAAGTGGTAATCCTTGACATTTTTCTGCGATTTACTTTCCAATTTCCACCAACTCTAGAGGGCAGCTTTCTTTTCGAAATGCTTTTTGTTGCAATAGATCCCAACTTTCAGCTTCATTTAAAAAGCGTAGACAGTGTGGAGCACAACTAGGTTTAATAGTCCAAGCCATGTCTATGTAGTAAGCAAAATTCTGCTTCCATTGTAGTCATTTGGAAATAATTTCTCAACTCGTCCCAAACATCAACATTCCATATATCATCCAATACAATCAAATATGGCTTACCCTTTAGGTGTCTATACAACTGTTCTCCCAATTTCTCATCACTCATTGTGTGAATTTCCTCTTTATGATCGACAACAGAACCTAGAATGACAAGTAACAGATCCCTCCTTCGATACACCCGAGACACGTATGTCCAGCCTTGAAAGTAGAAGTGATACATAACGAAAGGATCATTGTACACTTTTCTCGCCAAAGTAGTCTAACCAAGTCCGCCCATCCCTACAATAGAAATAGCTTCTAGTTGCTTATGTATTCCAGTTAATCGCTCTATAATTGTCATTGAGTCATCATCAAAGCCTACCACAGTTTCTTCCTCTACAGTTGGACTGCTCTCTTCTGCAAAACTTCCAGTTGAAGATAATTCAGATTTTTGTACTCCGATGCCATACAGTTTGCTCTGATATATCCCCAAAATCTCTTCCTCGAGAGACATAAATTCTTCTGTAAAACCCTTGGGCTTTGGAGATTTATCAAAGAGATGACCGATTTCCCCAACCACACCTTCATCCTTTAGCGTATGGCCATTAACTACAAACGAGTCCAACTCATCTAATGCCTCGCAGACCACATCTCCTATATGTCTTACTAACATTTTCAGTTCTTCATTTTCATCGCAATTTTCCTCTGCATCTTTGATGAATGCTCTTATGATTTCAAGATCCTCACATAGAGATTCGAGTAAATCTTTCTCAACACAAGTAAAATCAGCACCATTGCTTAAGATGTGGTTCAAGTACTCCAACAGAAAACCAATCTAAGTATTAGCCATTTCCCTCTCTACTTCTCCCCCTCCTCCTTTTCTAGAATGTATCAAGTCTTGGAAACTCCCTGACTATGGTTTTGCTAGAAACCATTATACACAAAATTAGAATGGCCCACCATTATAATATGTTTATATTGCGAAGAAAGATAAGGTTTTTACAATAAGACGTGCAGAACTTTTAATAGTAGTAGGACTCCACCACTGAATTTACAAGCTGCAATAATAAAGAGTATGATATGATTAGAGTTGGTCATTCTTTGGATTATTATATTTTTGTATTGTCACTATCTTTATGCCATAACCTGCTTTGGTTTTTTAGCAGGTTAAATGACTTTAGAGGCCAGTGTTGTAAGTAGTATTGATGATACACTGCACTTTGGTAGCCCAACCCCCTCCCTTTCCTCCTCCTCGTCGGCCACTAATCAAGTGCAATATTATCCGAACAAAAAAGGTCAAGCTGTTAAAGCTTTGAATTTGCAGTACTAGCAGCCCCAAGCAACTCTTCACTGTACTAGCTAGCACTCTCAAGTCTCGAGCGTTGTTTCAATTCAATTTGGGATAGCATTGCTCATTTCTGCCTCCCCCCTTGAGAGAAGCCACCATTGTTGAGTTGACACGTGGGCTATATTGTTTTAATAGGACTGAACTTGAATGACTAGGATAAGCTCATATAATATTACCATTTTTATTTATTTTTGAATTTCAAAATAGATTGTGCTTCTGAATAATGTCTTGTTGAGTTGGGCTTATATTTATATTTTACATGCATAAAATATGATATACAAATAAATATACACACATGGATATGTTTTTTTTATTAAAGGTTTTATCAATCAAGTATCAAAATGGTACTCGACATTCTTTTTTTTTTTATCATATCATGTGATGTTATGAATTGAATTCAAAACAAATTTTAACAACAATAATTTTTTTATTTTAATAAAATCATCATCCATCTTTTTTCGAAATTCAATTTTCAAGACATTCATAACCAAAAAACAGCAGAATTTGAAGTTGAAATAAAAATAAGAACGTTAGGACCCACCCACCACTGTGTAGAATCATTAGGTTCAGGTTCAGCATCTTCTGCGAAAAGAAGAGTGGTAGAAGAGGATGCAGACGAAATAAAAAGGAAAAGCTTCAAAGACTTTTGCTTTCATTGATTAACACATTCACTCTCTGAGACAAACGGCGGAGGAGATGCCTGCCATTCTGATTGATTTCCTCCTGGAGAACCTCAAGGAGCTACTAATTAGCGGTAGAGCCGATTCAATCCTTGTTGAGAAAAATCTAGTTGAATATCTCTTCGAGGAGCTTAATTTCATACAAGACTTTCTTAAGAATTCGGAGGATCAATACAATGAGCATAGCGAAGTTGAAAGTTTAGTGAAAACAATTAGATTTGTGGCTAGCAGGGCACTTGAGCACCTGGACTCTCTTCTAGTCAGTGATCTAGAGAAAAAAGATGAAAGAATTGATGAACATTTCACCCATGGTTGTGGTTATGGCTATGGATTTGATTATTTTTCATGGATTAGAAGTTTTGTACAAGAGATTAAGCATATCAAGGGAAAGGTGATGGCGCTTTATGACAAGAAGTTGTATCTCATTAAAGTCCCACACGCACATATATCGTTTGATGAAAGTTCCACAAGAGATATTAGTCCTAGTGTTGAGGAAGAAATTGTGGTGGGGTTTGAGGATGAGGCGCTGACCCTGGTAGAGAGGCTTACTGGTATACAACAGCAGTTGGAACTTATACCGATTGTCGGGATGGCGGGTCTTGGTAAAACAACCTTGGCAAGGAAAATCTACGATCATCCTCTCATCGTGTATCACTTTTATGTTCGTGGATGGACATATGTGTCTCAAGTGTATAGAAAGAGGGACTTGCTGATTAGCATTCTAAGTTCTATTGTGAAAGATAAAGATGAAATAAACGGTACGAGTGATGAAAAGTTGGGAGAAGAGTTATACCGACGATTGAAGGGTAGGAGATATCTGATTGTCATAGATGACATGTGGCAAACAAAGGCTTGGGATGATTTGAGAATATACTTTCCAAATGATTACAATGGAAGTCGAATTATTTTCACCACTCGGCTCACGGATGTGGCCTCGCATATTAGATCTGATAAACCTCCTCATTCTCTGCGTTTCCTGACCCAATATGAAAGTTGGGATCTGTTGCAACGGAGGACATTTCAGAAAGAAAAATGCCCCTTGGAGTTGACAAAAATTGGAAAGGAGATTGCCGCAAAATGTCAGGGACTACCGCTTGCAATTGTTGTGGTAGCTGGAATTCTCTCCAAGAAAGAGAAGTCACAAGAAAGGTGGAAGCAAATTGCTGAAAGTGTAAGTTCGTATGTTGTCGATGATACAACGCAGTTCATGGATATACTAGGACTGAGTTACAAGCACTTACCTGATTGCTTAAAACCATGCTTTCTCTATTTTGGAGCATTTCCAGAAGACTATGAAATCCCTGTGTGGAGATTGACCTGCTTATGGGTTGCTGAGGGATTTATCCCGAAAGTTGGGCAAAAATGCTTGCAAGACGTAGCGGAGGACTACTTGATTGATCTTATTGGTAGAAATCTCGTGATAGTTGCCAAGAAACGGTCCAGTGGTGGAATCAAAACATGTCGCATCCATGATATGTTGCGTGACTTATGCCTGAGAGAAGCCAAGGAAAAGAATTTTCTACAGCAGATTCTCAGGTATGAAGAAGTTGCTTCAAGCCCCAAATCTTTGTGCTTCCATTCTCACGGTTTCCATCATACTACATTTGGTTGTTATCCACACATAAACTCGTCTCTCTCAAATTCTTTCGAATGGGGACCATTCCATTTTGGAGAGTCATTCATTTATAAAGCTCTAAGGGTATTAGATTTAGGGTATATCGCCTTGAACCATTTCCCCCTTGAAGTATTACAGCTAGTTCATCTAAGGTTCTTGGCACTTTATATTTACTATGCTGACAGGCTACCGTTATCCATTTCCAACCTCTGGAACATGGATACTTTTATCCTTTGTCAAGGGCCAGGGGCTAGAGTTGTTTTGCCTCATACTCTTTGGAAGATGGTAAGATTGAGGCATCTATTTATTTCACACCATGTGGAATTTGAAGGACCTTGCTCCCCTGATGGCTATCCCTTCATATTGGCTAACCTGCAAACGATTTCGAGTATGAGTCTTTCGAGTTTTTGCAATGATGTGTTAGCATGCACTCCCAACCTTAGAAAATTGGGATTTTTTCAAACATTAGAGTGTGGGAATTTTTCCTTTCCTGGTCTTGCCAATTTAATTCATCTACGGACATTGAAGTTTATAGATTGGAGTAGTACCGCACTAATGTCAGGAATTTCCCAAATGAGTAAGTTCCCACCAAATCTGAAGAAGCTAACTATATCCGGTAGTCATTTGGATCAGACGATAATGGCAACCATTGCAATGTTACCCAACCTCGAGGCTCTCAAACTAAAATGTAATATCTTCAAAAAATTCCTGTGGGAAACAAGTGATGGGGGGTTTTGTCGCCTTAAATTCTTGAAGATTCAAGATGCTAAGCTTGACGAGTGGATTGCCTCTAGTGATCACTTTCCCAGCCTCCAGCGATTAGTGTTGGACGGATGTCAATATCTTCGGCAGATCCCAATTGGCTTAGGGGATATACCAACACTAGAGATGATTGAGATACATGGTCCAAACAAAGCTGTTGTGGATTCTGCCCTGAGAATTCGGATAGAACAGCACAACATGGGAAATGATGAGCTGAAGGTCCTTATTTACTCTTCATACTGATTAGTAACCGGATCTCAATAACCCTTCCTCAGGTGATATGTGATTCGTGCACCAGAACTCATGAAATCACGTCTGTACACATTTTTGTTTGTTTCATTTTGTGCTATTTTCTTCTTTTTTTTTTCCTAGAGTGCTTCATTAATTGCTGAGCATTCATTGTATAACTCTGGCAAAACAATGCCCCTGTTTTTTATCTCCCCACTTTTTTTTTATTTTTCATGATAAGATAAAAAACAAATTGACAACCAATCACATGAGTTGGTTATGATGACATCACAGTCCATTACCATCATCTGCGAGCGGCCGCCAGAGGAATTTTATAACATTCAAGCAAGACAATGAGAAACCCCTGAGGCACTCCATGGACGTATAATTTATTTCCTCTTATTTTATGTTTTTTCTGATGAAAAACCAAGATCACTGCAGAGCGTAAGCACAAAAAGATTGTAGCAGGATTCGCTAGATCTGTTTTCAGAATCCACACTCTAAACAATAGAATACTGCTATCAGTCTAAAGAACATTAAAGATAATGAAAGTAGACCAGGACATGAAACTCTCGTTATTGTGGTCTAAGACAAATCCAATGTATTTAGTTTTACCCGTAATAGGAGAGACTTTTTTTTGTCACTCGAACCTGTGATACCTTTACAGTGGTTCAGTGAATTAACATTGTCTCGGCGACCTAGCCCCCACTCAAGTACACTTGAGTATGAATAAAAAACATGGATGTGCCCCTTGAAAACTATCAGCTTAAATTGCCATTGAAATAATGTAGAATGGTCGTGATTGTAATCATCTCTCATGCTTTGGCACAAAGTGCAAACTTGATTATTGCTGTTGGAGTTTGATTCTAATGTTCTGGATCTCGAGTTTGTGGTAAGCTGAAATCTTGGTGCTAAATTCCAGTGTTGGGACTTGGGAGTTATTCCTCCTGTCCTTATACCACATTAAATCACCCGTTGTTTTTTTTAAAAGCTTAAATTGATAGAGATGACACAATAAATAATACTTATATAATTTTACACACCTATTGGTCAGCTATCGAATTAGCATGGGGTAGCAGTTGCCTATGTCCAAACAGTGTCGTGCCTAACTATCGAAAGATTGAAGAATTGCAAAACAACTACAACATTTTGTCAGAATAACATGCTATGAGCATTTACGTTTGTATATCTACCACGAAACAAGAAAAATAATGTGAGTTTCTTTAGCATTGTGTCATTGGTATATCACCAACCGCCTGTGAAGATTTGGCCTTCTTTGAAGGATGAGCAGCAGCATCGTTTATTTTTTGTGGAAAAGTTTATTATTTTTGAAACAAAGATCAAATAATTTTTTTTTTGGCTATAGAGTGTCCAAAGCTTGCGTGGACTTCTCCTTCGAGCTGGCCCCGTAACTTGAAAGATCAAATAAATTAATTATATTGCGGAGAAACATTTATTTGATTACACATATAATAATTAGAACACCTACCTACCGCACAAATAAAATAATTCAGTGGTGGCTTTCACTTATTTTAGTGATTCTATTAAGTTTGAGTTTTTTTCATATGAAACTCAAATCCATTGGCATTATGCCTTGAAGCATGTGCGGGTGCACTTATGGAAGGAAAATGCGATTGTGGCAGGTTTTGTCGCAAGGGTATGGACAATCTATCTCTTGGAACTGACTCCGATCATAAAACCAGTCTCCAACTGCCTTCGCCATTGTCTGCATCAGCACAATTTCATGCAAAAAATGAATTAGATTTCCTTCTCATAGAGTATGAGGCGTAATTGAGATGATCAAAATAAGCTAAACAACATGTGTGTCTGTATTTGTTGAGAAAGGAATGAGAGAGAAACATTAATTAAGATGGGACTGGGAGCATTCTCTCACCGTGTTTCTTAACTTGGAAGAGCCTTCCAACAACCAGACCTCCTGTAATTCAGATTGGCAATGAAGATAGCAAGAGTTGATAAATAGACCTCTACATGAAGAGCTGCCCAAACCTGTGATAGCACTTAAAAACTCCATCCTGAAATCTAAAAAATGGAAGAAAAAACAAATGTGAGTCAAGTGTCATATATACTTTCTTATTTGTTGATTCATTTATGTCTGACGGAAGCTTGAAGGGGGTGAGTTCCAACTTCCAAAGCTGAGGGGCTAATAAGAATGAGGATTAGTGATAGGATTGTTAATTTCATTCATTATCAGTGATAGGATTGTTCTATCATCCTTTGAGTTTACCCATAAATTATAAGGATAACCTTTCCTTTCATACATGAGATGAGACTCAAACAGAACAATTATTCATAAAAGAAACTAGTAGCTGGCACAGCAGAAGAGTTTGAAATTGTAGGTTCATTTGATAATTAACTTGAAGAATGAGGGTTTCAAAGAACGTATGGTATGGAACTGACCGTGCAAGGTTTGGAGTTGACTGGCCGAACAATTTGCAATATTGAGCTTGCACTTATACCAAAACCTATGTGGATCAGCAACTTCCGGTACCAAAATGTTCCCAATCTGAGTTAAGTTTAATCACCCAACCAAATTAGATAAATTAAACCAATTTTCATCCTTATTTTCTAGTCACAAGTAATATATCAATGAAATGGAGGAGTGGAGGAATTATACTTTGCATCTGTCAAGTATGGTTCCAATCTTGCTTGACCCATCTATTGTTTAGCTTCTCATATTACCGCCAAACTATTACTTAGTTTTACATTATGCTAAAACTAAACGTCTGTTATGTTATGATCCAAAGGAGGGTGTTGGTACACCTTCATCCTTTTTTATAGGCCCATAGGCTTATGGCATAATAAAAGAATGAATCTGCATATATATATATACTATCTTATAACAAGGAATGAGCTGACCTGCCATGAATCATAGGCCGGATTTAATATAAAGAGTGGTGTTTGGATATTTTGTGCCACATTCTGAGGGAAAAAACACTGCAAAAGTTTTGAGATGCATTAGCTATAAATGGCAACTTGTGAAATGTATCATCATGTACCACAAATATTTTAAGCATCTTCTCACCAATCCTGCTTTCATTTTTGAAGTGCAGCTTGGTGGCAAATTCTTTTCTAATTCCTGCAATCAATGGAAGAAATATACCCTAAAATTACTTCATAATTAGGGACATTTGTGTGCGTGTGCGTGTGTGTGAGAGAGAGAGAGAATACATGAGTCATAACCACTTGGTTGAAGTATTCTTGAATGCGTGGTTGTCCGGAAATATCCTTCCTGTTAGGAGGCAGCATCCATGGTGCTTAGTTGAACAAATAGTCTTAGTATTTCAGGAACAAGTTTGAGGTAGTTTATGCGATAGCTTACGCATTGAGGAAAAAACCAGCATCCGAAAAGCATTTGACTTTCGTTTTCTTGGGCAGGAGAGCTCGAAATCTGTCACAATTGAACATGACTGCTAATCCACCAGATGAACAGCCAGAGAGAAGAGCCTGTAATGGCAGCTCTTTTTATTTTAGCAATTTAGGACATGACTAGAGAGAGAGAGAGAGAGAGAGAGAGAGAGAGAGAGTTTTCTTAAATGGGTCATAATACATTTTTGGCATGTTTCATTCCTTTTGCTAATAGTTCCTCCATGACAACACCAAAGATTCTTGCACCTCTGAAGTAGAGATTAGTGTCCTGGTAATAAGTGGCATATAATTAAAAACGGAAGAATAATAATGTAATGTAAATACCGAATTCACAATGTCCTCTGGTTTAGTTTAGGTACTCTCAATAATTCTATTTTTCAATCTTGGAGGCTAAACATAGTGTTAATTTTGATATTGAGTCTCACTTGTTGAAGAAGGAAAATGAAAGGCAAAAATATTAAAGGAGGTTTCACTAAGAAAAAAATGACTTACTGGATCGACTGCTTCCATATCAGCCGTGAATGATGCTCCATCACAATATCTGATCTTTACCTTATTCCAGTTATAAAAGTCTGCAATGCAATATCAGACGGACCCAAATAAATAATAAACTCTGCTGATCCAATCCAAGTTTTGTAATTGTAATTTGGGGGAGGGGGAGGGGGAGGGGACAGACAAGCAAGGCTGAGAGTATGTGACATATCAAATGAAAGCAAGCAAAGTTTGCGGGTGCAAACTATAATTTTCTTCAAATTTAGTGCTAATTACCTACCTGGATTAAAGTATGATTTATTACTCAGAATCCCCGTAAAGTTTAGTTGCGTCCACATCAGCTTTGAGGAACCCCAACCCAATATATTGCTCTTACGGGCAATACAATCCGTGACATTGTTGCACCATGCTCCTCCCTGCACACCACATATTCAAACAAAAAATAATCATTTCCATGTCAAAATATTTATATTCTTGAAGATGCAACATTTTAATTTTTAAGACTTCAGCGAACATAATTTTGTGTTTATACATAAACCGAACAAGAAAAAATAATGCATCAATATGCATAAAGAGAGAGAAAAAAGTTTGAATATTGAATTCAATACATGGGACGATTGAAAATAACTTGAAAACAATCTAACTATAGACTCTTGATGCTTGTTTAGATTGCCGAGGTATGAGTGCAATTGTTCAAATTGAAGAGACATACTCTTTCAAACTAAGCAAACACCTCTAGAATGAACAATGAATAGACCCAATTTTTAGTGCGAGATTCAAATTAACAAGTAGAAAATTAAAAAATCTGTGTGGATTTTAAATTTCGGTTGGAAATATAATTACAATCTGTGTTCGGATCCGATTGGTTTGACCTGTAACACGCGTCGCATCAAATAAATTTTGCCCAAAAATTTTTTACCTCCCAAGCTCAGTTTGATTGGGTCTTGGTGAGGAGGGCAGGAAGGCGGCATGCGCAATAACCAAGTGAGTGTAATTGCTCGCTTCACTCACAAAAGTGTGATATCCGTTAGGATAAATCCATGAAGCCAACTAGGTGTATATTAACTCACCAAAGTTTTGGTATTCTTCTAATGTGAGACACGACTTATTCCACATTTCATCATTTCAAATGAGTCATTTTGAAGCATAATTTTTCATTCAATATTTAACGATTTTAAACAAAGAAATATACGACGTTCATCTCCTTGCAAAGGAGAACGTGAGGTCCATTGTCCCAATCAAGTTTTAGACTGGGTGTGGGCAAAAAAAATAATAGCGTAGGTTGCCATGACCCATCATGTTATTTATTTTGTATATTATGTGATATTATACTCACCTATTCATCACCGGCCTTTCTTTCATTTATATATGAAAAAGTATATGCTTATACATTAATTATGGCCATCGTGGCTTGGTCAAAGTGCTCAAAATCATCATAAAATATGTAATTATTCTGCGATGGGTGGACTCAACCCATGACCACCACCCTTATTTTGATTAACAATTAATCGTCAATATTATTAAATATATCAAAGAAAAATAAAAATAAAAATCAAAAGCATTGCATAATTATATTAGATAAAATTTTATATGGGTTTAAATACATCATATAACACTGTTATGTAATCTGCACATCTAATAAGAAGTAATCACAAAAACTTGCGGGACACACAAATTGAAAATGTGATAATTGTTAGTTATATATTGAATATGTACAATTTTTTTATTAATAATATACACCACGTAACACTCTATCATATGATATATTAGCAATCATATGGTTGTATGTATTTAAAAAAAAGGCAAGCGCAAGTCATAAAAAGGTTGAAAAAGAAAGGATTGGAACATGACCAGAGAAGTGACGGAAAGACCAACCTCAAGGTTAAGCAACCAATTCTTTTTTCCTTGTCCAAATCCCTTATCAAAATGGTAAGCTGGTGGACTCCCATCCAAACAAACTGCTCGTCAAAACAGAAAGAGTACAGCAAAGCAAAACGATGAGACAGATTGAAAACATACATATATGATCACAAAGTGCATAGGAAAGAAGGGTTTTAGTTTACCCATTATACTTTTGCTTAAAATTTTTTTTTTTTTAAATATAAATATTGGATAATTTGTAAATTTAAGTAGAATTTACTGTAAATAGTTGGATCTCTCACCAATCTGTGAATATGACCGGTCATCTACCGTCAATAAAAAAAAATTAATAGTGGATGATAGTATGTTGATCCAGAAACTGAAAATGTCAAAAAGTTCTGCTGGTTTCTTTTGAAACGATAATAATTTTCACCTGCTCCTTTGGCCACTGCTTTGTTGACATAAGTTATGTTTACAAGATCACCTTCCGTTTTGAGCAGGATTTGCAGGAAAACTAGTATGCACAACCACCACTGGCCTGAGCTTGAGGTCACCATTCTGCATTTTTTCCAACAAGAGACTCTTCGTCAACAAAACAAACCAAAGGAAATCATCAATTTAACCTCAAAACAAACACACACACACAAAGAAGAAAGAAGAGAGCAGAGCAAAAAATATATTGTATCATCAGTAAGTAATAAACACTTTGATCAACTGAACTGGCTCGCCTTGGCCTTGAACTAACGGGGAAGACGGCCTTCTTCTTCAGCCTCCCCCTACGCTAAACACCCCCACCCCCAACCATGACTGCTGGAATTGTTAGAAAAATAGTTGAAATCGAACCTGGTGATTAATTTTGATCTTTGAAGCTCTAACACACTTTACTACTAAATACCAATACAATGTGTCTTTATATACGCAAAAGTTTGAAACCTCTCGACTCTTGAGTTGTAAGTTGCCATGTGCAGGTTTCGACATACATTACAGATCTCCATCTGATAAAGAAAACAACTCTCTTCTCTGACTAGCCTTTTTCCATTAATTAATTGCCATTTCCGCCAATCCCTCCATCTTTCATTGAAATGGATTCCAAAACCTATCGACTCTCTCTCTCTCTCCAACCAGATGAAATCCAATAGACTTTCTAGTGCTTTGCAGGCCTGTTGGACGTGTAATTGCTGATCTTGACAAGGCCTTCACATATCAAAGCTTAAGTCATAGACGGAATTAACGACCATATTAATGTAGAATGTGAAAAATATATTAGTTGAGGGGACAACGTGAGTTGTGGACCATCAAAGCCTAATTTTTTCTATAAATAAAATATATATATTTATTTATTTATTGAATGTAGGTGTTATCGTGTTCTTCCTTCTGCATCCATCGTGACCAATCATGTTATTTAATATCTCCGGAGTCTCATATGAATAGAGAATTGTTACTATGTCAGCTTGAAGTATGGAGGAGGAAGTTCAGGAATATTAAGTACATGCCAGACAGGAAATGGACAATCTGCAAGTTGTAGTTGCAGCATTTTCTCTTCTCCAAGGTGCCCTCTATTTCGGGCAGTTAAATGAGAATTATTTTCTAAACAAAAAAATTTATATAATAAATTAGCTTATAATTTAAATCTTAAAAAATAAATAAAATAACTTTTGTTATTCGCAATTGAGATCGCTTTAAATTTTACTTTAAACTTAATCTAACGACTAATATTAACACCCTAAATTTAATAGAAAAAATAGATCCCTGAGGGTGTGTTGAAGTGACTTTTTAAAAGTACTTTTATAAATTATTTCTCATTAATATTTTTTTTTAAAAAATAGTGTTTTAAACCGTCTCACCGCTATCTTTACCACTACCGTCACCACCATCATCGTCGTCATCGTCGTTGCCACCCCCACTAGCCACTGTCACCCCTACCTTACCGTCACCGCTACCCCCACCACTGTCACCACCCCACCCCCACCCCCACCCCCACCATTGCCACCAGCACCATAGTCATTACCATCTATTACAATCATCACCGTCTTCTACCATTACCACCACTGTCGCCCACCATTTCTTACCTCTATTATAAACTGATGTTTAAATTATTTATCTTTTTTCTATGTTTGTGATTTGATTTTGGATATGAATACAAATATATTTATAATTTTTTATTTTTTATTACTCTGTGCTTTCAGACGCAGACAATATACTAGTACATTAATAAAGTGTCAAAATTTGAGGATAGTAATAAAGTTGTTATATTATGACGTCAGTACATCAAAGATTCCAATCGAGGAACAATTTATCAATATGCGATGGTGTCTTCTCTCTCTCTCTCTCTCTCTAATACTTTTTGGTTCTTAAAATAATCCATACTATCGGTGTCCCCTATGTTGATCTATAATCTTGTTTACTAACAAAATATTCGTACTACCCTTTAACTACATATAATTGTTTTTATATTCTTATGAGGCTGCTGATATTAAACAACAGCATTGGTCAGTATGCAGAAAAGGACGATAACACTTACATCGTGTCTGTAGCATAAGTCAAACATATTTATATAATAAAGTAATTTATAATTAAAATTTTAAAAAATAAATAAAATAATTTTTATTATTCGCGGTTGAGATCACTTGAGATAGTTGTGAATGAAAAGGGATACTCAAACTCAAAGTAGAGTCCCGTATATATAGCCAAAAATAATACAGAGTGACTTAAACATCCTTGTAGTTTAGGCAAAATATAAAAATCATAGTAAGGGTAAAAAAGAGAAAAGAAATCCTAATAAACCTAGACTATCTATACTCCAACACTCCCCCTCAAGCTAGGCGCAAAAATGTCAACTAAGCCAAGCTTGACAACGGAGTCCCGAAAAATAGACAGAGTGACAGGTTTGGTAAAAACATCCGCAACTTGATCACTGGTCCCCACAAACGATGGAGTAACAAGACCACTGCTGACCTTCTCCCGAAGAAAGTGAACATCAATCTCTATATGCTTCGTTCTCTCATGTAGTACAGAGTCAGAAGCGAGCTGAATAGCAGATTGATTATCACAATATAATGTGGATGGAGAGGTCACTGAAAAACCCAACTCGTCAAGAATCGATCGTAGCCAGATAATCTCACATGTGCCAAGTGCCAATGCCCGATACTCTGCCTCTGCGGACGAGCGGGAGACAACTGCCTGCTTCTTGCTCTTCCAAGAGATAAGATGAGTCCCTCGAAAAGCACAGAAACCCGTAGTAGATCGACCATCACATGCTCCCCCATAATCTGAATCTGAATAACAGGCTAGAGAACCGGTCTGAGATCCTGATGCATAAAACAACCCAAGTCCAGGACAAGACTTGAGGTACCGAAGAATATGATAAACTGCATCAAGATGAGGCTGACATGGCCTATGCATGAACTGACTAACTCGGCTGACTGCGAATGAAATGTCCGGCCTAGTATTGGCTAAGTAGATAAGTCTACCTACCAATCTTTGATAAACTGTCGGATCTTTCAACTCCTCACCTTCAGCAGTAAGCTTCAGGTTTGGAATCATAGGTGATGATGCCGGTTTGCACCCCAACATCCCAGTGTCTGAAAGAAGATCCAAAACATACTTTCTCTGAGAAAGAACAATACCTCTGCTTCTACGGGCAACCTCAATCCCAAGAAAGTATCGCAGAAATCCAAGATCCTTCACATCGAAGGCCTTCCCAAGGTCTATCTTGACCTGCGCAGTCCCAGAAACATCATCACCAGTAATAATAATATCATCAACATATACCAGAAGGATGACACACTGTCCAGAAGTATTCCGTCGAATAAAGCAGGTATGATCAGAATGACACCTGGTGAACCCCAATCGTATGACTACATCACTGAAGCGAGAGAACCAGGCTCGTGGCGACTGTTTCAGTCCATAAAGAGACTTACGCAGTCGACATACCTTTCCAGCATACTCCCCCTCACCACGAAAGCCCGGTGGTGCATCCATATAAATAATCTCGTCCAGATCACCGTGAAGAAACGCATTCTTCACATCTAATTGATGAAGAGGCCAAGAGTACTCCGCAGCCAGAGAAATAATTAACCGAACAGTAGTCAATTTTGCCACGGGGGCAAATGTAGCACCAAAATCACGACCTGGTACCTGAGTAAAGCCCTTCGCCACAAGTCTAGCCTTGTAACGATCAATAGTACCATCCGCAAGAAACTTCAGGGTGTAAACCCAGCGACAGCCAACAGGCTTCACCCCTGAAGGTAAGGAGACAAGATCCCATGTATGATTACGCTGAAGAGCGTCCATCTCTGTCTGCATGGCAAGAACCCACTGGGGCTCCCGCATAGCTTCCGAAATAGAGCGAGGAACCAGCGTATCTGATAAGGCCATAGTATAAGCTCGAAATGTGGGAGACAGATTACCATAAGAAACATAAGCAGAGATCGGATATAAAATCTTGGCGGTCCAACCATATCGATCAACTGGACGGCGATCACGCCTTGGATAACGACGCCCTAAATCACCATCCTCTACTGATAATATCTTATCAGGTAAAGTAACTGGCTCAGCACCTGTAATCTCATCAGTACTAACAACAGGTGCATCAATATGCTCAACAAACTGAGAAGTATTACCTGCATCGCCTGAGGTAGAGGGGATATCAGCAGGGTGATGAGAGCGAGGACAACGAGCATACACCTGCAAAGGAAGAGAGACTGGTAACTCTGTACTGACAGGGATGAGTGACTCCTTTGGAGGAAAAACGGATGACCCTGTAGGGATAGTGATCAATGACTCTGACTCTTGTGGTAATGGAAAATCAAAGGGAGTATCATCAACTGGAGGGGCAGACAAAGGACTGAAAGAAAAATAAGGAATATGCTCAAGAAAGGTAACATCTAGACTGTGATACATACGACGCCTAATAGGATCATAACATCGATACCCCTTAGATTGATGACAATAGCCCACAAAGATACAACGAATCGCTTTATCATCAAGTTTATGACGAGTAGGAGACCGATCCTGAACAAAACATGTGCATCCAAAAACACGAGGGGGGACCGGAAAAAGTGTCCGCTCAGGAAATAAGACCTGTAAGGGAGCCTTATGCTGAAGAACACGACTCGGCGTACGATTGCACAGAAAGGTAGAAGTCAAAACAGCAAAATGCCAATAAGATTTTGGTACCCTCATGCCTCTAAGCAGACAACGTACCATCCCTATCAAACTCCTATTTTTCCTCTCAGCAACACCATTTTGCTCAGGAGTATATGGACAAGTGAGTTGCTGAAGGATACCCTGAGAAGAAAGGTGAGACACTAAAGCATCAGACACATATTCTTTGGCATTATCCGAACGAAGAGCACGAACAATGACATCGAATTGTGTCTTAATCATCTGTAAAAACTGAGTGATTATAGGGAGCACATCAGACTTCCTATGCAAAAGGTAGACCCAAGTACAACGGGTATGATCATCTATAAATGTCACATAATATCTGGCACCTGACAGAGCAGTAACGGGAGAGGGTCCCCAAATATCAGAGTGTATTAGGTCAAATGGCTTG